TTTCACCCGTGCAACGTGATTTTATTAAACAACAATATTTCCATGGACCCATTGCTTGCATTCCGGGTTCATATCCCACCACATCAGGTCTCAGACTATCACCGACCTCGTGCGATTTATTTAGAGGCAAGTACCAATCACAGGGTCAAGGTCAGGTCCTCTCTTTGATATTACTAACAATCCGATCGTGCTGGTTGAATTATGTATACTCAAAGACAAAAATAACTTCAAAGAAATAACGAAAGTATGTGCAGCTGAACTGATCTGATGGACATGAAACGCGGTGCTCGCTACTTCTGCAGTTGAGTATATAGGTTCATGTTTGATTTCATATATAGGCTGAGTATTTATCAAATGCCAGAATATCTTTAGATTACGTCGTCAGGGTTTATTGATGTCGTTTATTTAAGAAGATGTTATCATTGAGCCTCAGATCCGACACTTTGAGTGGTAGATGCGATGTCGTGAAAATACAGATTAACCAAAGTCAACGGTCGTGGAACGGGGTTTAGAAATCATTTGGAAGCGACAGTTTATTGATGTGAGTTCCTTATTTTGAGGAACACATTGTTTACCTAACGTTTCGCTTGTTGTTAACTTATCACATGAACTTAAACAGCTGTCTGTTTCCTATTTTTTTCATTCACCTGAAGGATTAAGAATATAACCCTTAAAGTTGAAGTCCTCGAAATACATGGACATGTAATTGAACGGGCCTTGCTGTACGTGAATGAAATACATGGACATGTAATTGAACGGGTCTTGCTGTACGTGAATGAAATACATGGACATGTAATTGAACGGGCCTTGCTGTACGTGAATGAAATACATGGACATGTAATTGAACGGGCCTTGCTGTACGTGAATGAAATACATGGACATGTAATTGAACGGGCCTTGCTGTACGTGAATAAAATACATGGACATGTAATTGAACGGGCCTTGCTGTACGTGAATGAAATACATGGGTGAACGGGCCTTGTTGTACGTGAATGAAATACATGGGTGAACGGGCCTTGATGTACGTGAATGAAATACATGGGTGAACGGGCCTTGTTGTACGTGAATGAAATACATGGGTGAACGGGCCTTGTTGTACGTGAATGAAATACATGGGTGAACGGGCCTTGCTGTACGTGAATGAAGTACATGGGTGAACGGGCCTTGTTGTACGTGAATGAAATACATGGGTGAACGGGTTTTGCTGTACGTGAATAAAATACATGGGTGAACGGGCCTTGTTGTACGTGAATGAAATACATGGGTGAACGGGTTTTGCTGTACGTGAATGAAATACATGGACATGTAACTGAACGGGCCTTGCTGTACGTGAATGAAGTACATGGGTGAACGGGCCTTGCTGTACGTGAATGACATACTAGTAAACTGTGATGTTATCACTTCTTAATTCATGTTTATCTATCAACAAGAAATACAACTATATATATTCTTTAAGAATACAGATAGAAATAAAAGGTCAATGTCAAAGAAAGCGAAACAATGATCCATCATCCTATCAATTTTAATGTGAAGTATTAAAGCTTCATCCCTTTGTTTACATTCTCCGATTCTATTTAGTAATTCATAACTATGTTGCATAATTTCGTGGTGCACTATTAAGCCATTTATACTGTCATACCAGCAGCTACCCAGTCACTAACCAGTTTCACTTACATCAGCCGTATCCGGTGTGCACTATTAAGCCATGAGTTATACCTCACAGCTCCACCCACATCAGCCGTATCCGGTGTGCTCTCAACCACAATCTGCCCTTAATGAGTAGAACGGCTCATACTGGTCACAGCTCCACCTACATCAGCCGTATCTGGTGTGCTCTCAACCACAATCTGCCCTTAATGAGTAGAACGGCTCATACTGGTCACAGCTCCACCTACATCAGCTGTATCTGGTGTGCTCTAATCTGAGTAGAACGGCTCATACTGGTCACAGCTCCACCTACATCAGCCGTATCTGGTGTGCTCTCAACCACAATCTGCCCTTAATGAGTAGAACGGCTCATACTGGTCACAGCTCCACCTACATCAGCCGTATCCGGTGTGCTCTCAACCACAATCTGCCCTTAATGAGTAGAACGGCTCATACTGGTCACAGCTCCACCTACATCAGCCGTATCTGGTGTGCTCTCAACCACAATCTGCCCTTAATGAGTAGAACGGCTCATACTGGTCACAGCTCCACCTACATCAGCCGTATCTGGTGTGCTCTCAACCACAATCTGCCCTTAATGAGTAGAACGGCTCATACTGGTCACAGCTCCACCTACATCAGCCGTATCTGGTGTGCTCTCAACCACAATCTGCCCTTAATGAGTAGAACGGCTCATACTGGTCACAGCTCCACCTACATCAGCTGTATCTGGTGTGCTCTCAACCACAATCTGCCCTTAATGAGTAGAACGGCTCATACTGGTCACAGCTCCACCTACATCAGCCGTATCTGGTGTGCTCTCAACCACAATCTGCCCTTAATGAGTAGAACGGCTCATACTGGTCACAGCTCCACCTACATCAGCCGTATCTGGTGTGCTCTCAACCACAATCTGCCCTTAATGAGTAGAACGGCTCATACTGGTCACAGCTCCACCTACATCAGCTGTATCCGGTGTGCTCTCAACCACAATCTGCCCTTAATGAGTAGAACGGCTCATACTGGTCACAGCTCCACCTGGTGGGTTCATGCAAATACTGAAATAAACGTGACCACAATGCATTGCCAAATACGAAATATGAATATTTCTGTAGCGTTATGCATGCCTGCCATTGTGAATGTTCTCTCGGAATTTCCCTGTTTCTTAAACGGTTCAAAACACCTTTTTACACAGCATATGATCAGCAGGAATGCTAAAGTTATATGTTTGGTTATTGCAAAATATAGATCAGAATCCCTCAGTGAATGCCAGATGTTTTGCTGGTTTTGTTTGATTCGAGCGTTCCATTCCCCCATCCTGTTAGCAGGTCGAGCCTCACATCAAAATCCCCATATAATCTTCCAATGTGGAATATTTCAATCTATTTGCTTGTCTGGTATTTTTGGCCGTCTCAGAATACTTCGCAATGGTTGGATGGTGTGAGATTTAGATCCGTCGTCTCCATGATTAGATAATGTGTACTCTGTAACAGCAGGTGCTTCAGTCTCAATTGACGTCACAAGCACCTGCCTCCTGTCATATTCAGTATACAACTGACGTCACAAGCACCTGCCTCCTGTCATATTCAGTATACAACACTGACGTCACAAGCACCTGCCTCCTGTCATATTCAGTATACAACTGACGTCACAAGCACCTGCCTCCTGTCATATTCAGAATACAACACTGACGTCACAAGCACCTGCCTCCTGTCATATTCAGAATACAACACTGACGTCACAAGCACCTGCCTTCTGTCATATTCAGCATACAACACTGACGTCACAAGCACCTACCTTCTGTCATATTCAGTATACAACACTGACGTCACCAGCACCTGCCTCCTGTCATATTCAGTATACAACACTGACGTCACAAGCACCTGCCTCCTGTCATATTCAGTATACAACACTGACGTCACAAGCACCTACCTTCTGTCATATTCAGTATACAACACTGACGTCACCAGCACCTACCTTCTGTCATATTCAGTATATAAAACTGACGTCACAAGCACCTGCCTCCTGTCATATTCAGTATACAACACTGACGTCACAAGCACCTACCTTCTGTCATATTCAGTATACAAAACTGACGTCACAAGCACCTGCCTCCTGTCATATTCAGTATACAACACTGACGTCACAAGCACCAATTCTGACTCCCTACCCATGTTTATCCTGTTTGCAAGCCTTCTGTCAATGCCCGTGAACTTTAACAATGGTCCGTGGCGCGAACGTTAGGTGACATTTAACAATAATTAACATTACCTGTATGTATACACCATAATAATGTTAATTCAATAACAGTGTGTCTCTTATCAAAGAGTAGCATCGCTATCACGACGCTATTTAACGTGGGTCAGAGGTTCAAAGCGGAACACACCGTAAACGTTCACCAAACAAAATGGAATCGACGTTATGTTGTGACGCAATCTAGTGGGGCGGTGGGGTAGGGTGGTGCTTAAATCATTCGTTTCTTCACGCCGAAGACCGGGGTTCGATTCCCCGCAAGGGTACAATGTGTGAAGCTCATTTCTGGTGTCCCCCGTTGTGATATTGTTGGAATATTGCTAAAAGCGGCGTAAAACCATAATCACTCATTCACTCCAACAGTTATCGTAGTGCCCATGTTAAAGTTCACATGCAACCAAAAAAAAAACTATAAAACATAATTCAAACACAATTATCACTTATTCATGGCATATAATATACATTGTTGATTATGAACAAAAACAAATAAACAAAATTATAAGCGTACAATCGCAAATCAAAAGTGCAATTCTTGTACTTGGGTTTACTTCCCTCGAAACGAAGCACCCGAGATACCGAACCCAGTCAGAGCGGGTGGGCGTGCACTTAAGTGTAACGAAATCTTTCATTGGCTGGTTCATTTGCCGATACACTCTTTGTGTGTGTATGGGGATGTTGGGTTTTGTAAATATATGCATTTGGGGCATAACATTTTGCAATCAACATACACAAACACATGTCATGTGTACAAGTATCACACCTGCCTGTCTGTGAAATTACATAATACGACAGAGACATAAATGCGTTTTGTTTATGGTGTATAGCCTGATAGGTGTTAAATTCAAATTCCGCAGCGGAGCACAGCTGTTGAAACCACTTTTCACCCCACTGGGATGAATTTAGTGAATCGTTTGAACTCCAATTTCGCGGTGTGTGTGTGTGTGTTTGTTTGTGTGTGTGTTTGTTTGTGTGTGTTTGTTTGTGTGTGTGTTTGTGTTTGTTTGTGTGTGTGTGTGTGTGTGTTTGTGTGTGTGTGTGTGTGTGTGTGTGTGTGTGTGTGTGTGTGTGTGTGTGTGTTTGTTTGTTTCATCGCGTTATTTTGAATTCGCATTTTTGATCATTTGCTACTCAAGTAAGTCCATACCGACAGGTATCAGAATCTGCACAGTTGTGTTTTACGTGCACGTGACCTTGAATGTCTGGACTATTACACGAGCATCTGCATCTGTTGTGTCTCGGTTCCTGGCTGTTTAGACATCACACAAACAAAGTAGACTTTTCATCTATACATTTAAACGTCAACGTATATTTGTTATTTCTTGAAAGATATATATTATTATAGAGTGTGGTAAATAGTCATTTCTTTTCTTGGCTTAAAGTTGTTGAAAATATCCTAAACTCATGCGAGCTTAGTAATGTTTAGTCGAACATGGCTGCTGAATATGGTAGAAAGTAAGTCACTGTTATCAAGATGGCGGACTGACTGACTGACTGAGTTTGGTTTTACGCCGCTTTTAGCAATATTCCAGCAATATCATGGCGGGGGACACCAGGAATGGGCTTCACTTATTGTACCCATGTGGGGATTCGACCCCGGGTCTTCGGCGTGACGAGCCAACGCTTTAAGCACTAGACTACCCCACCGCCCCCTCAAGATGGCGGAATGCCATGGAGATACGTCCTACAAAACTATACATAAATTAAGACCCTATCATCACTGGATGCCTTTCTCTTATTGCCCAAATATATTAATTATCCACTATTAAAATTCAGAACATCTTATCATTGTTTACCAATTGAGACAGGAATACAAATGTAATACTCCAAGAGAAAATAAAACTTGTAAATTATGTGACTCGCCAGCAGCTGCAGATGAGTTCCATTTTGCTGTCCTGCTTTTCATGACTCTAGACGAATATTCATACCAATCAAATTGCTCAAACACTCAAATACTGTATCTTTAAGAATTTTGTTTACTACCTTAGATTTTACTGTTTTAACAAACCTAGCAAAGTTTATAAATGTTATCTTTTCTACTATAACAAAAGTTAGATAATGTATATGGAATAATTGATGTGTGTACTGTGTACTCTTATACCACTATTGGTGGCCTATTGAGAATAGAGTGAAGTGAAGTAGAGCCCTCGATTAGCACGCGGGTTGACTGGCAGACCGTAGGGAAGATGTGCTAAGCCAAACTACAACATCACCTGGAAGACCATCAACATCATAGCGAAGCTGACTTCAAAACCAGAATACTACGTATAGATATGTATACAACCATGTACATCTTCTCTATTGGCTGCCAAACAAAATCCTTAATCTCTTATGTATACGACCATATACATCTTCTCTACTGGCTGCCAAACAACATCCTTAATCTCTTATGTATACAACCATGTACATCTTCTGGCTGCCAAACAACATCCTTAATCTCTTATGTATACAACCATGTACATCTTCTTGCCAATCAACCTACTTAATCCTGTGATTGTACAATGCTATTTAGAAAGTGGTCAAATGCAACATACGTTTCATTTGGGATTACACTTTCTTAGTAAAGTACAGATTCTTGTACTTTTGTTGGGTTGAGTCCCATCTCAATTTAATCCTGTATACCATCTGTTCTATCAACATCTTCCGTTGTACAAACAACCTATTTTCGCCTCATCCTTCATCTATTGTCCAAACATCTCATGTATATATATATCACCCAAACTGCTTCTCATGCACCACTTGCTTGACAACCGCATTAGAATCTGTGTCGCAGCGTCGCCTATATAGAATAGAGAAGTTGTATATCAATAACATTGTCCTCATTCTTCATCTCACCAACTTCTAGAATGCCAATCAAAGAAGTATATGAGGGTGGCAGGGTGGTCTAGAGGTTGAGCAAATGCCCCGTTCGATCATGACGCTGAGCTTGACACCTACATTGACGTAAGCTGTTCTGGCGTCAACGTAATGACAATGGTGGAATGTGTGTTACCGACCCCACCACAGAGGCGACTTGTGTGTTACCGACCCCACCACAGAGGCGACTTGTGTGTTACCGACCCCACCACAGAGGCGACTTGTGTGTTACCGACCCCACCACAGAGGCGACTTGTGAGGTACAGCGCCATCGTAGTCGGAAGTAGGAGTTTCACACGTTCAACTAACTTCCTCTTGCGATTTTATTATGTCATGTTTGGTAATGGTTCACAGTTGTGTTGTTACTTCCTAATACTTCATTCACACCATTCCGCCCCTCCCGGAGTGTAACCCCCCTCCCCCTCCCAGAGTGTACCCCCTCCAGTCCCAGAGCGTAACCCCCACAATCAGCACACAGCTTCAATGCCCCCTCAGCATTTGTCTCCAGCTGATTACACTGCACACCTCACCTATATGTTCTCCATATAAACATATTTACCCCAATTCCGTTTCCGCATTTTTTGCAATTCCGGCAATGGTACTGGCGTGACGTCAGAGAGTGTGACAACATTGTCCCTGGACACAGATCCCCGCAAACGTCCCATCTCACATATATGTGTGTTGTCCCGAGGGTGGGGAAGCTGGAGTTATTGCAGGCTGGGGGGATATGTGGACTCCTCCCCCCCCCCCCCCCACGTCACTTCCTGTGTCTACTTCTCTGTGTGGGAGGACATGCCGATGTTTAACACAATTACTGACAGGTATCCCGCGCGTGTCGAGCACGTCGTGTGTCGAGGATGTCGTGTAATGGTGCCTCGGTTGAAGAAGACGACGTGTTAGTCTTAGACACAAACGTTTCGAAAATCTTACAACACGCTTTATCGCCATGGCAACAATGAGCGGCAGCTCTCTTCTAAACTTTGGTACTTCTCATTTCTGTTATAAATATTGTTATCAATAATTGTTATTGTTACATGTATAATGATATTTATCTATAAAACATATTTACAGTAGGTTATATATGATTAGTATTTCGTAATTACAGTGGAGAAGTAAGTGAATTGAATTAAAATTATTTTAATTAAATATTTGCAGTATTCCACTTCTATCCCGGTATGACATTTAAATATTGGAGGAGAAGGTGTTAGACGTGTAACACTACACTTGAACCCACAGACACCGGTGTGTGGACGCAGAACCTTAACCGCAACGTTATCGGGATTCGAACCCACATCCCTAGACGTTCCCAATACTGGCTCTACACCCCCATCTGCGGCGACTTAATACACCCGGGCCACCTGTGTCGCCTGCAGGGGAGGAGACTGAAGACTATGGCCGACATATTTTTGTCATTTATAATGTTTCAGTCTTAATCAAAGTTGGTTTCATAGTTATTCTTATGTTTTACTGAAACATGTTTATATGATAAAGTGGACATAGTTGGTTTCCTATGTTTTAAACACTGAAACATGTTTATATAGATAAAGTGGATATAGTTGGTTTCCATGTTTTAAAAAACACTGAAAACATGTTTATATAGATAAAGTGGACATAGTTGGTTTCATGTTTTAAAACACTGAAACATGCTTTATATAGATAAAGGGTTATTCTAAGTTTTAAAAACACTGAAACATGTTTATATAGATAAAGTGGACATAGTTGGTTTCCATGTTTTAAAACACTGAAACATGCTTATATAATATCGGTTCATTAAACACTGAAACATGTTTATATATGTTATTGCAGTTGCTTAACATTTTAAAGTTATTCATTCTCACTGTGTAAACCTGTCCTGTAAAGAAAGTTTCAAATTGAACCTAAAAGGTGCAAAGAAAAAAGAAGATATTTTAAGTTTCACAAATATTTGAGTTTTACAGGAAGTGTTTAAGCGGCACCAGAAAGGCCTTAACCATAATAGAACTCATACAACGACGAACACAGATGGACGCGGAAACCGATTGTTCCATACTCATTACACGAGATAAACGTGTCGGGTGTATAGTCAAAATTCAGGCTGACAGCATACTTTTCTAAGTAGTATTCTCTAAATACCAACCTTTATTAGTTAACACTGAGTGCATATGTTCAATTGATACACAATCCACAATGCTCAATGACGGATAACATAAACAATCCACAATGCTTAATGGCGAATAGCATAAACAATTCACAATGCTTAATGACGAATAACATAAACAATTCACAATGCCTAATGACGGATAACATAAACAATTCACAATGCTTAAAGATGGATAACATAAACAATCCACAATGCTTAATGACGGATAACATAAACAATTCACAATGCTTAATGACGGATAACATAAACAATTCACAATGCTTAATGACGGATAACATAAACAATTCACAATGCTTAATGACGGATAACATAAACAATTCACAATGCTTAATGATGGATAACATAAACAATCCACAATGCTTAATGACGAATAACATAAACAATTCACAATGCTTAATGGCGGATAACATAAACAATCCACAATGCTTAATGATGGATAACCTACACAATCCACAATGCTTAATGATGGATAACATAAACAATCCACAATGCTTAATGATGGATAACATAAACAATTCACAATGCTTAATGATGGATAACATAAACAATTCACAATGCTTAATGTCGGATAACCTACACAATCCACAATGCTTAATGACGGATAACATAAACAATTCACAATGCTTAATGGCGGATAACATAAACAATCCACAATGCTTAATGATGGATAACATAAACAATTCACAATGCTTAATGATGGATAACATAAACAATTCACAATGCTTAATGGCGGATAACCTACACAATCCACAATGCTTAATGACGGATAACATAAACAATTCACAATGCTTAATGACGGATAACATAAACAATTCACAATGCTTAATGACGGATAACATAAACAATTCACAATGCTTAATGACGGATAACCTACACAATCCACAATGCTTAATGACGGATAACATAAACAATTCACAATGCTTAATGGCGGATAACATAAACAATTCACAATGCTTAATGGCGGATAACATAAACAATTCACAATGCTTAATGGCGGATAACATAAACAATTCACAATGCTTAATGACGGATGACATAAACAATCCACAATGCTTAATGATGGATAACCTACACAATCCACAATGCTTAATGATGGATAACATAAACAATTCACAATGCTTAATGGCGGATAACCTACACAATCCACAATGCTTAATGACGGATAACATAAACAATCCACAATGCTTAATGACGGATAACATAAACAATTCAAAATGCTTAATGGCGGATAACATAAACAATTCACAATGCTTAATGGCGGATAACATAAACAATTCACAATGCTTAATGACGGATAACATAAACAATTCACAATGCTTAATGACGGATAACATAAACAATCCACAATGCTTAATGATGGATAACCCACACTAATCCATAATGCTTAATGATGGATAACATAAACAATCCAACAATGCTTTAATGATGGATAACATAAACAATTCACAATGCTTAATGATGGATAACATAAACAATCCACAATGCTTAATGATGGATAACATAAACAATCGACAATGCTTAATGATGGATAACATAAACAATTCACAATGCTTAATGGCGGATAACCCACAATAATCCACACAATGCTTAATGATCGGATAACATAAACAATTCACAATGCTTAATGACGGATAACATAAACAATTCACAATGCTTAATGGCGGATAACATAAACAACCACAATGCTTAATGACGGATAACATAAACAATTCACAATGCTTAATGGCGGATAACCCATACACAATCCACAATGCTTAATGACGGATAACATAAACAATCCACAATGCTTAATGGCGGATAACATAAACAATTCACAATGCTTAATGGCGGATAACATAAACAATTCACAATGCTTAATGACGGATAACATAAACAATTCACAATGCTTAATGGCGGATAACCCACAATAACCACAATGCTTAATGATGGATAACATAAACAATTCACAATGCTTTAATGACGGATAACATAAAAATTCAAAATGCTTAATGGCGGATAACATAAACAATTCACAATGCTTAATGGCGGATAACATAAACAATTCACAATGCTTAATGGCGGATAACATAAACAATTCACAATGCTTAATGACGGATAACATAAACAATCCACAATGCTTAATGATGGATAACATAAACAATCCACAATGCTTAATGATGGATAACATAAACAATCCACAATGCTTAATGATGGATAACATAAACAATTCACAATGCTTAATGATGGATAACATAAACAATCCACAATGCTTAATGATGGATAACATAAACAATCCACAATGCTTAATGATGGATAACATAAACAATTCACAATGCTTAATGGCGGATAACCTACACAATCCACAATGCTTAATGACGGATAACATAAACAATTCACAATGCTTAATGACGGATAACATAAACAATTCAAAATGCTTAATGGCGGATAACATAAACAATTCACAATGCTTAATGGCGGATAACATAAACAATTCACAATGCTTAATGGCGGATAACATAAACAATTCACAATGCTTAATGACGGATAACATAAACAATCCACAATGCTTAATGATGGATAACCTACACAATCCACAATGCTTAATGATGGATAACATAAACAATCCACAATGCTTAATGATGGATAACATAAACAATCCATAATGCTTAATGATGGATAACATAAACAATTCACAATGCTTAATGACGGATAACATAAACAATTCACAATGCTTAATGACGGATAACATAAACAATTCACAATGCTTAATGATGGATAACCTACACAATCCACAATGCTTAATGGCGGATAACATAAACAATTCACAATGCTTAATGACGGATAACATAAACAATTCACAATGCTTAATGATGGATAACATACACAATCCACAATGCTTAATGATGGATAACATAAACAATCCACAATGCTTAATGATGGATAACATAAACAATTCACAATGCTTAATGGCGGATAACCTACACAATCCACAATGCTTAATGACGGATAACATAAACAATTCACAATGCTTAATGGCGGATAACATAAACAATTCACAATGCTTAATGGCGGATAACATAAACAATTCACAATGCTTAATGATGGATAACATAAACAATTCACAATGCTTAATGGCGGATAACATAAACAATTCACAATGCTTAATGACGGATAACATAAACAATTCACAATGCTTAATGGCGGATAACATAAACAATTCACAATGCTTAATGACGGATAACCTACACAATCCACAATGCTCAATGGCGGATAACATAAACAATTCACAATGCTTAATTACGGATAACATAAACAATTCACAATGCTTAATGGCGGATAACATAAACAATTCACAATGCTTAATGACGGATAACATAAACAATTCACAATGCTTAATGGCGGATAACATAAACAATTCACAATGCTTAATGACGGATAACATAAACAATTCACAATGCTTAATGGCGGATAACCTACACAATTCACAATGCTTAATGGCGGATAACATAAACAATTCACAATGCTTAATGATAGATAACATAAACAATTCACAATGCTTAATGACGGATAACATAAACAATTCACAATGCTTAATTACGGATAATATACACAATCCACAATGCTTAATGGCTGATAACATAAGCAGTCTTCAGCTAAGCTGGTGTTGCATTAATCGTGTGTAATTGCCGAACATTGTTAGAATGACATTATCATTAATAATAACAACAACAATCTATACCTGTATGAAGACGCTACGAACTGACCCCTAACCTACTTGTAACTGTATATGTACCGTTATCGATACTGACGCGTGTATAGTGCTGTTTGTTGGGTCAAGGTCACATCAGGCACATCCTGGCGTCCTGTATATAGTCCAAGACTGGACCACATCAGGGGTAGAAAGTAATCCCCAACGGCGTGGCACGATGACACCAACATACGAAGAGTGGCGCCACATCTTGACCACCCGACCCCTTCTGTGACCTCTTACGACCAGTACTTGAGATATGCACCTGCGCATCTCCGGTGGAACCTGAGTGAATATGCATGGAATGCTGGTCAGTTATTGCTATACATGGCCACGTGACATGTCTGACCGGTACTGCTATAGATAACACCCATACTTCCTTAAAGTGTCTGGAAGAAGTCATCATAAAATGTAATTCACAATCCTACAAAACACGACGTTATATACCTGACATGGTGAGACCGGAACGTGGGTAGCTACCTGCATCATGTGTAGTGTTAAAAGGTGTCAACATATACCAGGTTTACTACACTGATCAGTAAGACATGTGTGGACGCTAGACGGCTGGCCCCAACAGGGTCTCTGTTCACAACCGTGTACGGAGTTCTGTTGCTTCCAAAACATTTCCTTCAGTGAAGTCCTAGTGCTTAGTAAGACTTTGATGGCTGGGGAACTTAAGACTGTGTTCTGAAACAGGGTTAGGGTTAAGGTTGAAACGTTCGCTCCTTACTATGTAAATTCCGAGTTTGGTTCTCAAACCGGGTACAATATATGAAGCCCATTTCTGATGTCTCCCGCCTAGAAATGAGTTTATAATTGGTGTTAGCAAGCACGGGACAAACCATCACACAGTTCTAATGACAACCATCTGTTTGGTCAGCTCAAGTTCCCAGGACATTTGGAGGCCCGTGATTCGTCAGATATTTCCTGAATAGAGGACACAGCCAAAGTGGAAACATTAAATGTTTAAAAGAACGAGTCATTGATTGAGTAAGGCAAATCGCAAAAACTTTATTTTACCAAAACATTTCCTTGTTATTTCGCTATTATTGAAATCAATAGTGTAAACACATCAATATTTAAACAGCATTATTCCTGTTTTCATTAGGCAAGAAAATATCAACATAAAATTACCAATCAATGACCCTACAAAGCCAGCGCTTGTCAAACACGGAACAACGCTGTATGTACGCAGAGCGATCTTACACAGAGATTCTTGCATCTATCTCCAGGCCATTACGTCATTGCCCCACATAGTCACGTTTTACTGTTATTTGAACATAATTGACACATATCTGAAACAGTTTCCTCAACCATGGGCATTGATTCCCTGATAGAAAGCATCTCCATCCTTGAGAGATATAAATATTACAAGGTTGGTTTACATTCAGATTAACAAATATATTCTCTTAACATATCATGTGTGAATGTGAGTATTATTGACTGACGGGACAAAGCTAATATGTTCTAACAAGAATACAAACACGGCCAGTTGTGCTGGTTACTGGAAACATTAATGTAATGTGTAGAAATGTAACCTGACCTTGTAAACGTTAAAACAGAGAGTCATCTAACCCAATGTTAAACTAACATCAGTATTGACAAGTCAAATTGAAAATAGATACACGAGGGTAATCTTTATAAAGATACAAGAGATGAAAAAATGCTGGAATTACCATGTTTTGTCGACAGGTTGAATAACTACTTTTGGAAGGCAGTCCGTTTGTATAGCTGATGTCATTTACATTCTCGAGCTGATTTCCTCTAAAACAATATTCAATATTAGATATCAGAAAATTAAATTACATTCATCAAGGTCACATATACAATATGACGCAACCAGCAAAATGTTTCCGAATTAAAATAAAATAAATGCTAACGATTTCGGCATTTTCAAACAGAATACTTCATAAATTGTTTTTCAAGAGAACATTGTTCCCAAAAATGTTCCAAAGATTTTTTGTTTTGAAATTGGAAATTTCGCTGCCCGTGTTTCTGTTTTCAGCCTCCGAGCCTCTAGTTGACATCTAAAAATAACCACAGACACAAATCTTTGTTTCATTATTTCTAAATTTAATACCATGCTAATTGTTGCCTGTTTGAACAACGTGCTATAGCTGCCGAGCGTGTATATGGCGTCTGAAAACAAACATATTTTTTAACGCGTATCGTGGAGTAGCGGGTGTAACCGTTACCACAAACACCCGGTGTCTTCACTTATTTTCAGGGTTCTTTTTACATATGAAGAAGAATGATTTATTCACTATAAAGGCCACAGGCCCAAGTACAATATGAAAGCAAGATATGTACATACAATGTGCTTAAGTTGGCACCAAAACACATATGTATGACACGTAGTCACAACACATACGTTGAAGATATGTATATACACATTTACAGTAAACAGCAACGTAACATGAAGGTTTCCTTAAACAAACTATAAATTTAGGGTCTGCATTTGAAGGAGATATACAAGACAATCATTATTTAAACATTCAATATTTCTCATATATTTCAGTCGTAACTAATTATATATTGGACATTCTAACATAAAATGTAACTAATCTTCTAACATATTCTAACCAAATGGACACAATCTTGATTTTCTGGGTATTCCTTCTTTTCTACCAGTATTCTTCACTGTACTTCATTCACCGAACTTTAAAAGGGATACATATCTTCCGAAATCTTTATTATCATATATTTCACTATTAAGGTCAAATGTGTAAGTAAGTTTAGTTTTACGCCGGACTCAGCAATATTCCAGCTATACGGCAGCTTAAGGTCAAAGGTCAATTAGGAGGATAATCGAAACTTCTTATCGGCCATTGACGTCATAGATGTATGCATATTAAACCATTCACTGTTGTTTCTTGTATCATTTTCGTCTATTGTATGATTTATAAAATATCATCACAATCACGCGGTAATTATTGTTATAGTTGTGGGGCTTGTTACTGTTTAATGGTCATCAATGTAGACAAAGTAGAATCATTGATCCGACCAAGATTTACACCAGAAAGTCTCTTTTCCAGAATTTACACATAAATTGTCCATTGACTGTAAAGATTTTAGGTTTCTGACATAAGAAAGTATTTCTTTTTCTACATTGATATTTACAGTGTACATAAATCACACATGTTATCATGAAACATGTTATATCTTCCTTCGACTATTTCCAGCAGTCTGAGTGGGACAGATACTGGAATTTTGTCAACCCTTCGTCAACCAATCATCAATCATTCCGTAATTGTTTTTCCCTGAAAGATTGGCAAGTCTAATGTCAAACATCTCACATATATAATATATATGTTAATTTATATGTAATATGTATGATTACATGGCTTTGACCCAAAGCTCATCGAAGTATACTGCTTAAAGAGAATGTTGTTTAACACATTTTGTGTAGTGTCTTCAACCTTCCCAACCCTAGAATCCAGTAAACGTTTTGTCCAGCACGACGCCACATCTACATCCAGATTGATGACTAGGAACTGAATAGGTTCTTTGTGAGCCGAACAGGCTATAAACTCTACAGGTATTATGGCTTACAATGGTCTGTAACAAGGCAAGAAAATGTCTTGTGTCATTTGAGAACTACAAATACAAACATTGTTAATTGTTTCCCAGTTTCAACTGCAGGTGTAAACACTGATCTCTGCACACAGCACTACAGTGTTAGGGAACATGGCTTTGTGATTTGTCATCCTGAGTCTCAGTTCTACCACTGTCGGGACTCTGAATGTATTCCTAGAAACAGAGTGCAACCGACGGAGAAAAACCCAACAGATTAAATCATGGCAGTTGCGGGGTTGGGAGTGCACTCTCCTGCTCCAAGCCGGTCGTCTGAAACAATCGCGGCTTGACTGTCCAGCTCGGTTTTTGCCTCCTACCGGTTTGTTCCGAACACTTGCAGCTTGCAGTCATCTCCTCGCCACCATGTTGACCCTTCTACGGAGCCGAGCTCACGGTGCTGAACAAACATCACCCTCGACGCTGCACGGAGCTGGCATCAGCAGCAGCAGCAACAGCGAGCCGGGCAGTCTTGTCATACCAAGCCCTGTGACGCACTACACTCCACCGCCAGACAATAGCCTAGTGTTCTCTGCGCATGCCCGTGGCAGGTATATAAGCAGGTGACTGGAGACAACCACCAGTTCTATACGTGGACGACTTCACCTGCTAACAGATTCCAGCATTTCATTAACAGTCATTTGTGGATAGCAGAGCTTCTGTTGAGATCTTTACTGGACGTTACCAAGAGTTCTGAAGGACCTTACCTTTTATCTGTGTAGCTGGTCGCAGAGACTGACTTTCGTGTTTCCTTCTTTGACAAATCTGACAATCATTCTCCATAATGAATGTCCGTCTGAAGTGGTAAAAGCTCTGTGATTGTGGCCGCCCCGTGTTACGTTCGCTCACCTGTATTTCTTATATACACTGCTCATCGTTGTCCACCCCGCCATAATACCCCACCATGTCGTCAGCTGTCGTTGTCGTCGCCTCCTTCATAATGAGCACGTTGACATTGACTGTGTTACCACCTCTGTGTGACGCCCACGGGAGACTAATGGACCCCCCAGCCAGGAACAGCATGTGGCGTCTTGGCTTCAACAACCCCGTCAACTACAACGACAACGAACTCTACTGCGGTGGCAGAATGGTAAGTGTTTCATGTACAGTGTGTTTTGCCTGAGAATTTCGATGTCGAAAAGACAGCCAGACAAGTGAGAATCAATGTCGTTACAACTCGAAGTAAAGCATATAGAAGCCTATGCCTATTGAAGAGGTATAACATCGAATAGGCAATACCAGAACTGTTGCTAAATGTCAAAGAAGGTATGCAGTCCTGAATGATATGACGGTGGTTAAAACGACGCTAATAACAAATGGTGAATCGATGGACTTGTATTTTGTACGGGTGTAGCTGCCCTGAGCTATTTGCCGTGTTTTATGGGCTGGTTTCAGCTTAGTAACGTTTGGTAACGTTCGTAATTGTTTCGCTCAATCTAATTTCCAAGTGTATGCTCTGTATTGCCCAATCGTGTATTTCCAGAAATAGCTGAACTTCATCCTGGTGAAGTTATCTTTAACTCGGCTTATAACCCTTGATCTATTTAAAGATCGTGCATATTCTCCAAAGAATCAAAAAAGGAATATATGTGGGTGTAATGACGGACCCCAGAATCAGATCAAATATCTAGTTCCCCCCATGTGCACTGTGGAAGAAATGCTATATCTCCCGGAATAGAAACGCGCACTATAATTCAAAAAGTCGTCACAAGTGTCATTTCATTTTTCAAATTCGTCAGTTGTTAACGCGTACACATTATCCCAGAGTCGTTCTGGAAACTAAGGATTTGTATTAAGATGGATAGAAGAGTGACATCTGCCCTACAGTAATACTGGTTAATGAATCACTGGGGATACTGTCGCCATCACGGTTGTCACAGGCATGTCAGTCCTCAGGTGACAGTAAGAGTGTACGGGAGACTTGTTTGTGGTGGGATAATTTGTGATGTCATCTGTCTTGCTCTTCACGCTCTGGAAGCCCACGTTTCAAACACCGGGCAACTGTTGCAGTATTTGTAGTCGTTGTAGCTCACGTTTCAAACACCGGACAACTGTTGCAGTGTCTGTAGTCGTTGTAGCCCACGTTACAAACACCGGGCAATTGTTGCAGTGTCTGTAGTCGTTGTAGCCCACGTTACAAACACCGGGCAATTGTTGCAGTCTCTGTAGTCGTTGTAGCCCACGTTACAAACACCGGGCAATTGTTGCAGTCTCTGTAGTCGTTGTAGCCCACGTTACAAACACCGGGCAATTGTTGCAGTGTCTGTAGTCGTTGTAGCCCACGTTACAAACACCGGGCAATTGTTGCAGTGTCTGTAGTCGTTGAAGCCCACGTTACAAACACCGGGCAATTGTTGCAGTCTCTGTAGTCGTTGTAGCCCACGTTACAAACACCGGGCAATTGTTGCAGTGTCTGTAGTCGTTGTAGCCCACATTTCAAACACCGGGCAATTGTTGCAGTGTCTGTAGTCGTTGTAGCCCACGTTTCAAACACCGGGCAATTGTTGCAGTGTCTGTAGTCGTTGTAGCCCACATTTCAAACACCGGGCAATTGTTGCAGTGTCTGTAGTCGTTGTAGCCCACGTTTCAAACACCGGACAATTGTTGCAGTCTCTGTAGTCGTTGTAGCCCACGTTTCAAACACCGGACAATTGTTGCAGTGTCTGTAGTCGTTGTAGCCAACGTTTCAAACACCGGGCAATTGTTGCAGTCTCTGTAGTCGTTGTCTGAGTGGGAGGTAATCAAATGTCAATAACGTACCTTGGATTTAAAAAGAGTTGATTCAATTTCGAACTTTGCGAGAATTGATTTCATTGGTGTTACTCATGTCCTCTGTGGAGTTCAACACGATCTGGAACAACCTCTTCAAACTTAGTTGTCAACTCGTGGACGTGACTTGTGTAGCTGTTGATAGCGTATTCATGTTTTGAGATGTAACTCTTCTTCAGATAAATGAAATCAGGCATTAATACATTTACCTAGGTTGAGTGAGTGAGTGCCCAGTATTCTGTTATAGGAGGAGGGAGTGTGTGTGTGGGGGTCACAACACTTAGCAGGGGAAGAGCAGGTGGTCTCAGAACAAGAAGAGGGGTGGTGGAGTCGTGCTTGTCGTGGTTGTAGAGGTGGGTGTTGGTGATGTTGGGGCAAGGATGTCGTGGTTGTTGGGGTGGGTATTGGTGATGTTGGGGCAAGGATGTCGTGGTTGTAGATGTGTGGATTGGTGATGTTACGGTGATCGAGGATGTCGTAGTTGTAGATGTGTGGATTGGTGATGTTATTGTGATCGAGGATGTCGTGCTTGTAGGGGTGGGTGTTGGTGATGTTACGGTGATCGAGGATGTCACTACACTGACCACCACACGACTGACCGCTATTTCATCCTCGTATATATCTGGACCTGGGGTCACTAACTTGCATCGCCTGACCGTGTATCCCTAGGGCGCGTGTATTTAATGTGGGTAATTGTTCAACGTAAGGTAAATTTAATTCCAATTAAGAGTACCCCTCTTGCTATACACTGACCAATATTTGTCTGTTTGGACATGAGTGGTCAACGCAGGACCACTGACCAAACTCACAGTCGGCACTGGTCACTCTTTCTATGTCAATGTTTCAGTCACGTCATTGTTTCTATGTCAATGTTTCAGTCACGTCATTGTTTCTATGTCAATGTTTCAGTCACGTCATTGTTTCTATGTCCGCCTTTTGTTTTCCTAAATGACTTCACTTTGGACGACAATTGGTCAATACTCATATGTTTTCAAGAACAACTTGTTAAAGATGAATTAAGTTACTGACTTAGTTCCTCATGTGACAGTTACTGCAACTAGAATGACGGATTCAACTATCTGATCACAACATTAACATCTGATCACAGCATTAACATCTGATCACAACATTAACATCTGATCACAACATTAACATCTGCCTGTTGGGAACAACTTATCGTATGTTCTAGTTTTTATGTGTCTGCGACGGGTTTCCACCCGAGGCGAAAGTATACGCCATATTTTGGGAGAATGTCTGTATGTACTGGGGGCAGGGTGTTGGTAGAGGGGTGGTAGGGGGTGCAGGGGTAGGCGTGCATATCACCAGGGATGATGATCGAGGAGGAGGGACAGGGGAGAGTGTGTGTATGTACTGGGGGGACAAGGAGTTGGTTAAGTGGTAGACACGTGTGTTGTCGGGGACGAGGAGCCAGTCAGTTAGGTCATACATGTGGTATGTTGTATGTAAACGGGGCGGAGGTGACGATGACGTTAAGTCATGTATGTTGTCTCTCCTTGCACTGGGAAAAAAATACAAACTATATTTTTTCACTTGATCCAAAGTACAATCGCGGGAAAGTGATTCAAAACATTATGTCTGGAAGCAGAACAAAATCGCAAACGATTCTTTTATCTAATTCTCTTAAAAATACCAGCCAAAAACATAGAGTTTGACAAACATTGCAGTACTTTGAGTAATACTGAGCACTTGAAGACTTGATGGTGTTGAGTGGTTTCTGCAGGGACCAATGTCGTCAATGTCAACCACGTCTTTGTTGTCGTCCTCTGTGATGTAAGCTTCCGCCGTCTCGACTGTGCTGCTGTCAGCTGTAGGCGGGCTGAGTCGCCTGAACTTCAAGCTCAGAATACGTGCCGTATTCACATTGTGATCAGCGCCTGATGATTTCATCAGTGTTGTATGAACCAGACTTTAGCTGTTCCTGAGATGGTTGAAGAACATCGCAGACAATTGTTGCTGGGTGTCTTGTAGACGTAGTGGTGGTCTTGGTCAAGATTGATGACATAAACCATTACCGTGAAACCCCTTAACGCCGCCTGACACCCTTATCACCCCAGCTGACTAAACCCAACCAAACACAACCCCGAGGTAAATATGCTCGAGTCTCTTGTGGTATTAACAAGCCGACTATATTCTTAGCTACGATCTTTTGTTCCTTCAATATTCATGATGACGTTTCTCAAATCAGAGATTTGCAATGAAGGTTGTAAAAGCACTGTTCACCAACGTACCGATCAGATGCTAGATGTGGGCACAGTTTCATTAAGACTTATTCAGTTTAACACACGACTAGGTCTTCACGTTACGTCCACGCCATAACTTGGGAACTACGTCTGAGTGGGAACAGTCGACCCAGAGTCGGACCGGGTTCGAATCCCAAAATGTGAACATTGTGTAGAATCCATTTTAATGCCCTCCGTCCTACTAGTGGAATATTCGTCCTACTCGGTGAAAAACTGAAAATACATCCGCTGTTCCTCCTGCCCCTAACATCCCTGCCCCCCATCCCCGCACCCTCTAACATCCCTGCCCCCATCCCCGCGCCCTCTAACATCCCCTGCCCCCATCCCCCGCGCCCTCTAACATCCCTGCCCCACCCCACTCAGTGCTCCCTCGCCTAATTGGGTGCCGCTTGTGGGAGGGGGCGCACCTGTTTCCGGCCTCGGGTCGAACTCAGATGAGACCTGCAGTTAGCAAATAACAAATATTCATATTTGCCTCAAATTCTTGTTCCTTTTCATGAAGACCCCCTGCAAACCGGCACCTGCCGTGTGTACTTCCCTCGTCTGTGGACAAATGTTGTAGTGACGCATTACCTGGTCAATACAAGCAGTTACACAGGTCTGTGTGGGGCTAGGGTTGGGTGGTTACACAGCACAGTGTGCCTCTACATCACTGATCATACCGTCACGGACCGCACGGAGGCGGACAGCAGCCAGCCTCACACCCACAAAACATTTACCGCTAAACAATAGCAGCATGATAACTCTGTCACTTCCTTGTTCCGTCACAACATTGATCTGGAGGGCTAATGGTGGAACATGCCGCGAGTTCAAACTGATTGATTTTGTCACAGGCTGCCGAAATATGTCGCCAAAACAGGATGCGTGGCATCGATCTGTGCTGCAGCCTCTGAGAACAGCTTCCCCTTCCTTCTGGGCTGGTATGTCGGGACCACCTCGGCATCGGCAACGTGCTCGTCATTGATGAATTAACCCATTGGTTACACATTGTACATGACATCTCACACCACTGCACACAGGCACAAATTGACAAAATGTTTAAAGAACTGCTTTCAAAGGC